AACAAAATGTAACATGTTTGGTTTCCAAAGAAGATGAAAGGTGGATTTAACATAAAAAGCATAAACACATAAATCTAAAACATATCTCTAAGTTAATCAAGAATGTTTTAGTAAAAGAATTGTCTGAGATCTCTTGAAAAATTCATCTTCTTTGTGAAGCTTGTTAGAAGGGGAAACAAATTAAAACCACTTTTAAAACTAAAAGGATTGTTTCCACTTCATGACCTTTGGAACTATTATATATGGATCTATTTGGTCAACTAGAACTCTTAGTCTGAGGTAAAAAGCATGAATTTTTCATTATAGATGACTATTCTAAATACAAATGGTTATATTTTATAGCCCACAAATACGAATCTTTCAATGTTTTTAAAATATTCTATAAGAGGGTTCAAAATGAAAAAAAGGTTTTTGCATTACTGCTATCAAAAGTTGTAAGATCAAAAAGGAAGTATGTAGAATCAAAAGACGATCTTGAATCCTTCAAGTAACTATGAGTTTTTATGATAATAAACAAATTTTCTCAGGAGACTATTTCAAACAAAGCAAATGTCATATTTCGTTTGTAAGACGAAGTGTATCAAACGAAGTGCATCATCTGGAATAATGCCACATTTATTTCTTGTTAGAATAACATAATAGTTTTTAAGAAGCATTAACTCTTTCTTCCTTAACAAATCAAATGAAAAATCTTCCTCGAAGATAATAAAAGCTTTTGAAAAGAAATGTCAAATCATTATGTCAAGAAAGAAAAAGAAAATCTTGGATTTCTTGGAAAAGACACTGGAAAGACTACTTTGCGTCAACCTTAACTGCTTTGCGCTAACACTACTCTGCTACACTCAAAATAGAAGGAAATGACGATAAGTAGCTGTCTGGATCAGATAAGAGACACACACTTCACTGATAAGCATTTAATGCATCAACGATAATCTCTATGATCAGCAAGGAAGATAAACGAAGCAACTTGTGAAGAAATTTGAATGTTTAAATCTAAAGTTGCTATAACGGTCATCTTATCTAAAGTTACTAAATAACGGTCAAGCTTTTAAACAAAAAAAAAATAGAGAAAGGCATTACAAATTAAAAAAGAAAAAGCTGTAAATAGAAAAATCATCACTAAGAAGCATATTGAACTTACAAAACTGAAGCACTACAAAGGAACTTTTCATTGAAATTCTTGTAAATAGTTCTTTGTAGTCTGTTTGTGCTGAAGTTTAATAGCATCACGTCTAGAAGAGACAAAACTATCATTGTAACTCTTGTCAAATCTATTTGTAAGGGTTGAACTTGTAGAGGTTTGTGCAAAAGAATACTTAGTGTTGAGCCTAGAGAGGCTTGTTGAAAGAATACTTGGGATTGAACCTAGAAAGGCTTGTTGAAAGAATACTTGGGATTGAGCTTTAAGAGACTTGTTGAAAGAATACTTGGTGTTGAGTAGAGAGACTTGTTAAAAGAATACTTGGTATTGAGCTAGAAGTGGCTTGTGAAAGAATACTTGTATCTTGTACAAGATAGTAGAACTTAATCTAATTGGATCGAGAACTGGATGTAGTCTCTGTGTTTGAGACGAACCAGTATAAAACACTTGTGCCACTTCGTCTGTTGATTTCCAGTACTTCGTTTGTCATAACTTTTGCCATTTCCCTACTACTTCATTGTAAAAGCGGGAGTTTTTTATATATACTATTCAACCCCCTTATAATGTGTATCTTTTTCTCCGAAAGAAGTGATGACAAAACTAAATTTGAAAACTCATATTTTAAATTGTTTTATGAAAAGAATAGTATCTTTTACAACTCCTTTTCATTAAGTACACCTAAAAAAAAAGGTAGTCGGAAGAATGAACTGAACTTTACAAGAAATGGCTAAAACTTTTCTTTGTATAAATTCTGTCAAAAAGCTTATGGGAAAAAGTAGTAAATACAACTTGCTACATCTGAAACAAAATATTGATAAGTCCTATGTTGAATAAGACTACTTATGAATTGTGAAGAGGAAGAAGACCCAACATATCATATTTTCATCCATTTGAATGTGAAAGTTAATTATATCCTAAACATTAAGGATTAACTTTGAAAGCTTGATTCCAAAGTAAAAAGGGTATTTTTCTTGTATAGAGTATATCTTTGTGCACACTTTCAATCTAATCCTACAAAGTCTCATCTTAAAGAAATAAAATGTATTTTTAGATTTCTTGTTAAAACTACTAACCTAAGACTATTCTTTGAGAAAAACAAAGATTCTAGGTTAGCAGTAGATTATTCTGGCAATAGAATTGAGAGAAAAAAACAAGGAGGATGTCATTTTTTGGGCCATTGTCTCATTTCTTAGGCAACCAATAAACAAAACTCCATCACAATCTTTAATGCAAAAGCTTAATATATCTCTACTGCTAGTTGTTATTCACAGCTATTATGAATGAACTATCAATTAAAAGACTATTTTAGTCATAAGCATAACATACCTATATACTATGATAATACCAGTGCTATTAATCTTTATAAATCTCATACAACATTCTAAAGTTAAGTATATTGAGATAATATATCACTTCATTTGAGATTATGTACAAAAGGAGTTTTAGACATAAAATCTATCAATACTGATCATCAATGTGCTGATATATTTACTAAAGTTTTGACTAAAGAATGCTTTAAATTCATTAGAAGTCATCTAAACTTGAAATGCTTCTTAAATAAAGGATTATCATTGCATTGTCTTAGATATGCTTCATCTAACAAGTTTTTATATTTTATGCATCAACTTAAGATGACATGTACATGCTTTGTCTACTATTTTATTAATCTATCATGCATAATGTTTTATTATTATATCTACATCAATATATCATCTTCCATAGTTCAAATTAATTAAAAAAAAAACTAAAAAACCTAATTATAATTCTTTTAAATTAACAATTAGTTAAAAATATCAAAAAATTCACAATAAACTAAATAATATATAAAACTTGAACTAAACTATATCTATTGATATATTTATGATATGGTGTGATATGAACATACATGAACACATTAATAAAATATAATATTGAAAGTGGAAGTGGAAGTGAAGAGTGAGTCGGCTAAAAGGGTAAGGATGCAGGAAATGCTGCCACGTGTTCTTTGCAGCTTACTCAACAGGCACCAGCTGGGTTGAGGCGTGCAACAAACACATGCCTCATGTACGTGTCTTTACATCGTTTAATCTCTCACTGCTTTTCTGCACGAAACGACAAATATATCGATCACGCCGCTATGCCAACTGCAGTTAGTTGGCATTAATATTATATTTTAATGCAACTCTTCCCACAAACTATTTATTATATTTTAATATTCACTTTTTTAATACTTTTCTACTAAAAACTATTTACATAATACTGGATGTTTTCATTATTAATTAAACATAAAATATTCACATCTGCTAAACTTTTACTTAATTATACTCCACATTCTGTTTCTTCTACATCTATTTTCATTAAATAATAGTTATTTTAATAATAATTTTAATTTTTAAAGTATAATTATTTTGATAATAATTATAGAAATTATTTTTTTTAAAATTATACTCACGGTTTTTTTTTTTAAAAATTCTATGTGATTTTAGAAGTAAATAATACATGCACTTACATTATAATTCTTTTTACACTAAAAACTTATGTTCATAATAATTTAGTAATTATTTTAATAATCATATTAAAAATCACATTTATTACATTTGATTAATTAAAAGTGATTCTTTTATATTAATAATAATTATGTTAATTTAAAAGGAATAGAAACTAGTATATTTTTTTATATTAATTTTTTGGTCCATGACTTTTTATATTAATTTAAAACTTTTATTTGTAAGAAAAGAAATTAATATAAATTTTATTAATTAAATTTATTATAAGCGGCAAAACGAAACGTGTAGAGATCTTTCTGGCGGGAGCTTACACCTCTTTCTTTTGGTGAATTCGGGAGCCTACACCTGTCCGAGATTGCAACACGTTGTGGAATACATGCATGTGCATCGGTTATCAAAATTTTCTTTTTTATTTTTTAATTTAATACTTCCTATCTTTTTTTTATAACAATTATTGTTATTATTTTATCACCAAAGTAAACGGAAAGACTTTTTCCTACAGAAAATATAAATTATATTATATGGAATGACTTTTACTTTTTTTTTTTTTAACAAATATTTTGATTGAAATATTTATATCTATTTGCATCGTACTTGTAGAAACAATATTTTTATTTTCACACTACACACGCTTTGTAATGATGGAAATAATTTAGCATCAAAGTAAATTCTGAGAGAAAGAATTGTTAGATACAATAGTTTAATTTAATTTTGAATTTTAATAAAAATATAAGAAATTTAGAGTTAATAAATGTTATTAACTTCTAAAGATAATTGCTATTAACTTTTACATATAAAAAAATATCAAACTTCATGTTCCGATTTTAGTAACTTAGTTTAAGTGGCATTAAACAGACAAACAAAGTTGTCCTTTTTCTTGTAACTCATACTTCAATTACTTCAATAAAAAAATGAGTGATTGAAATAAAGACATTTTAGTCATGTGTAAAGCTTTGTATACTATCGATACACGTTTAATAAACTAATTTATCAAGATTATGTCATACCATTGATATTCATTTCAGACACTAATAAAAATGAAACATGAAGATTAAAATATTAGTATTTCCACATATTCTACATTGAGTTAGGAAACATAAGGATGAAGTTAGATAAACTTTTCAACAATGTTTCTCCTCAGGTCACATTCTATAATGGAGAAAAGGGGTTAGAATGGGCCATTTTTGTCAAAACATCATTGTTCTTACATTACACTCAAGTAATTAGGTAATACATGTTTCATATTTTATTTTATTTTCTTTTGTTTTCTTCTAAAGCGGAGACATCAGACATTGACAACGACCTTTGCGTGAAGTAGAAATATAATAAAATATATTTCTTACATTTTCATTTTCTAAATTTTTTTTTCTATTTCCTTATTATTCGTAAAAGTTAATTCTCATTCTCATCACTACATCAAGCCTCATTGTCTCTCTTGAGGTTGCAGTCTTGCAGACTTATACAAAGAGAGAGAGAATGAGTCTCATCTCAGTGCAATTCTGATTTTAAAAACCGAGTTTTACTTAGTAAGTTCTTCTGAAGTTCATGGCTTTATTTTCTCACACCACAGTATCTCTAGTTTCTATTCAAATTTGACTTTAACTTTTTAAAGTGTGTTTCTGTGGTTGTTTGTTTTTCTTCGTCTTCCTTTAAGGTTATTGTTTGTGAGAAATGAGAATTTTCTTTTCAGCATGTGTGTTTCATTGGGAAGAATACTTGAGAAAAACAATTTTGACTTTTGATAGTGAAAAAGGCTAGTCACTTGTCATCACTTTGTTTTTTTTTTTTTTGTACATTTCAAAGTAGTTATAAATAATCAAATTCCCTGCTCAAGAGCACAGAGCTTGATCAAGCTCAAGTCTTTTTGGGATTTGAGTGGAGGGTAAGTGTTTAAATTCGTTTCATTTTACTTATTGAATCATTTTTATTGCATGTAATTTAGTCTGAACTTCATTACCCTTTTCCAGCTTTGTAATGGAGTTAACAGATTGAGATTCATTTGATCCTGAGTATTGTTTCTCTTTTGTTTCAAATAAAGTTTGGAATTTGATCATGCTCTTGTGAATCTGTGATTTTGAATTTTGTTGTATCTTTGTGTTGTTCCAGGAAAAAGTGTTGCTAAAATGCCTGGGAAACCTGACACTGATGATTGGCGCGTAGAGCGTGGTGAGCAGATTCAGTTTCAGTCCTCTATCGACTCTAATCATCAGCCTTGGTGGCGAGGAGTGGGGGAAAATGCCTCTAAATCATCTTCAGCAGATCAATTGAATGGTTCAACGGTGAACGGTATCACGCGGTCTGAGACTAATGAAGAGTTAGCTGGTGGAGTTGATTTCAATATGCAAAGGCGGCCTATGGTTTCTCCACCACTTCTTGGAACTGGTAAGTCAGTCTGTATTTTGGCCGGAATCTTATTAGACTTTTGTTTGATAATATGTAATTTTGTTACTTAATTTTCTTTGCATTATTTTTAGTTTTAACTATTTGAATGAACCCACATGCAAGTGTTAATTTTGTCACATTTTCTTTTAAGGTGGTTCAGTGATTCGGGGAAATGAAAGACTTTTTGTTAGCCAATTTGGCCTACAATTCATTAAGCATTCGCTTTTTAGCCTTGGAATTACAAAGGCTTTACTTAGTGGGATAAAGCTTTTGTTATTGTCATTGTTGTTAGCAATAATTCTCATGACTTTCAAATTTGGGGTAATTCTAATAATTAAGGGAAGAGAAGCTTTATGCATGTGACAAGTAACATTTTAAAAGAAATTTATTGAAAATAGATCTTAATTGTGTTCAAAGTAAGGAATTTTTGTTTCAAATGATGACTTCTAATTTGTAAACTAAGAAACCTTGATGCATGAATATAATTTCTGCTGATAAGCTTTTTGTTGGTCTCAGGTAGGGATGTTACTAAAGAGTACCAAGACATCAAACATTCCATGTCCTCAGCCTCGTTTACCATGGACCAGCACCTTGCTCCAAATCCTCACATGGAACTTGTTGGTCATTCAGTTGTAAGACCTTTAAAATTACTTATATTTAGGCACAGAACTTTTGTCACACGCCATGAGCCTTTAATTTATTGCTGGGAGTTTATAATATACCATTAATCTCTACCATATTATGTCAACCTTTTCTTTTGTTAGGGGGTGGGGAGTGTTGTGGAATCTGCCACTGTGTTTTATATCTTTGGGCGCAATAAATTAATATCATAACTTTTTCACTATGTGATGCAGGTTTTAACATCTCCTTATTCAGATGCACAATATGGACAAATTTTCCCTACTTACGGCCAACAAACTATGGTATGATATCAGTCATTTTCTGTATGGTGTATATGAAAATTGCTTCCATTTAAACAGGTATTTTTTAATCTGTACACAAGAACCGATCTTTTTATGTTCCAGTGAAAAGAGAAACTGTTTATATCTTTTGATTGGTGTTTATTATGGATATTTTGTGTCTATATTTGTCCATAATAAGCTTATCTATAAATTAAACCATTTTTTTTAAAAGAAAAATGTTGATATAAAATAAATATTGCAAGGACATGTAATATACTTATTTATTATTTTGGTAAAAAATTAATATTTTTGAATATTTTTTTATGATTGGTCGTTAATGTGCACTTTTTTCATGACTGTTCCATTTATTAAATGTTTTGAACTATACTTTTTTTCTGTTAGAGTATCATATTATTCTTTTATAAATATACAGACCACAAATTAGAAAAAGAAGATGATCAAATAGAGTTACCAAATATATTGTGTGTTATATAATGTTTATAAATTGAATATGAATATACTATAATTTTTTTTTAAACTTTTTAATTGTTTGCTTTCATTGTTTATAATATGCATAGTGAGTGTCATATCTGATTTAAGTTTAAAATTTATTTACAATACTTTTTATTGTTGTATGGTCTTAAGTAATTATGAATTTCTTTATAAGATTATTTTAAAGGGACATGATGACATGTAATGTGGTATGATGTTATAAAATGGTTTTTTGGATGATGTCTCTTCAATACTTTATTTGATGAAGCAGCATGAAATTTTTTAGAGTATTACAGGATGTTGATGTATCAAATATAGTCAATAATTAATTGTTCAATATTTTTTTTTATATTTCTTATGTGCACATTTGTGCATGTGTGTGCACATAGTTAATTTTGGGTCTGTTAGTTGTTCTTTTATACTCTTTGTATATAGCTGATGTATCTAAAAAGATTATGAATACATTCTTCTTTTTCCTTTAAGTATTGTTTTGTTATATACTTTCATATAAAAATATGTAGAGATTATGTAAATGAGGAGACTTGCAGTATGAAGTATTTTGAACATATTTACAATTGTAATGATAAGCTTGGAAATGTCTTTGATTGTAAATTATGGTTCCTTTTGTTTTCTATTATAATATATAGAGCTAGAAACTTCACAACCTTGTAACAGTAACCACTGCCTGAGTGTAATCTTTATGATGGTAGTGACACTTCTTTTATGATGGCTTTGTTTTTCTTTATAGACTTCTGCATTGAATTTTAAATTCATTCTCTTTTCCTTTAATTTTTTTTTTCAAGGCATTTTATGACTTTTATTATTTTTGTTGAACCAAGTAAATGCTATGCTACTTTATTGCTAGTCCTAACAGCTTTTGGTATGATGCTAGATAAACCCTCAGTTGTATGGAATGCATCATGCTAGAATGCCTTTGCCACTTGAAATGGAAGAGGAGCCTGTTTATGTCAATGCGAAGCAGTATCATGGTATTTTGAGGCGAAGACAGTCACGAGCCAAGGCTGAGCTTGAGAAAAAAGTAGTTAAGAATAGAAAGGTATGATTGATATTCAATTTATTTTAGAATGAGATAATACAGCTACGAGGGAGGGTTCTACTATCCTGAAAAAGAATCATAATGAAACACAAATGAAGAAAAAAAAACTGTAAAATAATCTTAATGTTGGATAGGAAAATTTATTTTTCCATGGTAAGAGTTTCTTTATCGTTGTATTTCATTGTTGTACTGATATATTCTCTTGACCTTTTCAGTAGCATATATAAATTTAGGCAATTGTATTTACTTTGTCTTGGATTATATGTTGAGTTTCTGGTGTTGTTCTATGATTTTAGTTCTATTCTCATGATTTCTTTAGTTGCTCTCTATTAGGTCTCGATATAGTGGCACTGAAAAGAAAAAAGCAATGGAATATTAATTTCAATTCCTGCTTTGCTTGTTTCTCTGTCATGCAGCAAGCAGAAGGGTTCAAATCAATGTATTTAAACTCAAGTTGACATCTTTTCAGTATTGACATATGAACATGATATGTTAATTTTTAATTAAAAATATGACATAAAGATTTAAATATAAAGATTCATTTTTGGGAGAAAAAGAAAAGACAATCAAAGAAAGCAAAGAATATAAAAAAGGAACAGCATTGAATGTGATAAGGCCATAAATATTTTTGGTTTCTGTTAGATAAGAACCCTTAGAAGACAACATATCAAAGAAAAGTCAAATAAACAATTATATCTCTATGAAAATATGGTGTTTGTAGAAAATTTATGAGAATGCTTCAGAGAAAGTCCTGTATAAAATTGTGTGCTCAAAATACTTTTGGAATTTTCATTATTAGAAAATCATGCTAGTCCCAACTCCGAAATGTTATTTACTTGACTATAAAGTTTATGTAGTAGTTGGTGACAAGAACCATGTTGGCTAAAAGATTATAAGTTGTTAGGCAACAATTTTATATCTTCAGTAGGTGGTTTCCCGTTCTATGGAGACACGAAAGAGAAAAACATATGGTGTATGCTTGCAAACCTTTACAACATCTCTGCTCTATTCTTATGAAGTTCCTGATTCTTGTAATACTTCTTGCCACTAGCGGACAAACTGTCATGTAGATGACCTTCAAATCCAAATTCATTGTTATTGTCCTAAAATTCCAGGAATTGCTTTCTGGAATGTATCCATCCATGCTAACATGTGCAAAATACCTTTGCAAGGGAATTTTAATTTTTGACTTCAAGTTTTACAATTAAGGTTAGAAGAGGAGACATGCAGTGAATGGTTAGATTAAACTTAGTTTTAAATTAAATACCGAGTAGAAAACTCTTAAGAAATCTAGTTGAATAGATGATTATGGTCATGCAGTGGGTGAAAAATCACAAATTACTAGGATTTGACTCCTGTAAACTAAACAAAGATGAAGTGACTAATTTCAGTCGCTAATGAGAAAATCAACCATTGATATTTAACATATGCATGATTTGTTATGCATGTGAAATTGATTTTCTTATCAAAGATTAAGAGTACTTACTTTATACTCAAAGTGAATTGCTCACTTTAGAGGATCTGGACCCAAATTTCCATGTCTTTTTTTATTTTTGAAGTTTCACCATGTCTCACACTGGTTGTTGGTAAGATGTATGTTTGAATGTTTTGTATTCATATAATTTTATCTCACTTCTTACCATTGGTGTAGAATTGATCATTGTCACAGCCTCATAGGTGTTTTATTCATTTCCTACAGCCATACCTTCATGAATCCCGTCATCTACATGCCATGAGAAGGGCAAGAGGCAATGGGGGTCGCTTTCTTAACACAAAGAAGCTTGAAAATAACGATTGCATTGCCACTTCAGATGAAGGCAACGATATTGGTGCAAACTCCTCAATGAACACACCTAACACTCAACATTTTCTCATCAACAATGAGAATATAGGCTCATCAAGTGCATCACAGTCCACGGTTCAGGACATGCACAGAGTCCAGTGTTTCAATATTGATAATTACCATAATGTAAATGGACTCACAGCACTATACCATTCCCAAGCAAATGGAAAAAAGGAGGGAGACTACTTTGGTACAATGAGGGGCCCTAACGGGGCTTTCAAATAGAGCACTTCCCTCAGCCGTACAGCAAAAGTTAGGTACTAAAAATAACAACTATATAGTCTTTTGTGTTTTGGAATTTGGATAATTTTTTTCATAAGTACTTAGGGTTTGGTTAGATAAACTTATCTAGAAGTACTTATAAGAGAAGAAAATTGGAAAGAAAAATGAAATTAGCTTCTCTATAAGGTAAATTTAGCTTATGCATAAGTTAATTTATAAAAGTTATCTCATATTAGTTTTTTCAAAAACTTGTTTTTAACTTATACACAAACTAATTTTAACTTGGAAACTAATTTCATTTTTATTTCCTATTTTCTTCTCCTATAAATACTTTGGAGAAATTTATCCAAATAGATCTTTACAAGAAAAGAAAAGAAGGTAAACTGAATTTAACTTTGCGTATAAAGATAAAACCAACTTATGCATTTAAGTTTTATAAAAACTATTTTTCATTTAATTTCTCCAAAAGCAAGGTGCATAAGTTGATTTTAATTTATGGAAGCTCAAAGCATTTTACTCTCTTATTTTCTTTTCTTATAAGTGCGTATGAAGCAATAAGGTTTAATTGAATTTCACTCTAGTCTTATGTCAAGTATTGCAGGTGAAGATTAAGGGCTGTCTCATCCAACTTAAGATGCTGTATTGAAGGCAATTCATTCTTGGCTCAGTTAAATGGTGAGACCAGTGACATGGTACACTCTATGCCTGGTCTCCCATTCTTCTGTTTTCTACCTTTGCAAGGTCCATTTGTAAAATGGGTGACAGAAAGAAAAGGAAAATCACTTTGGTTTGAGAACTTCTGTAAGTTTATATTTTAAACTATTTGAAGGTTCATAACACTGAACTGAGTTGAGTGAGATATGCTTCACAAAGCCTTGAAACTTTCCTCTATCTTGTCTTATATCTCCTTACACATCATTATCCTTAATCGATGCATATACACTATTTATAAGAGAGAAAAATAGGAAAGAAAAATGAAATGAGTTTTTTCTCAAGTTAAAATTAGTTTATTTATAAACTAATTTGTAGAAATGCTTTTCAATTAGATTTTTCAAAATTTTATTTTTAAGTCATACAAAAGTTAATTTTAATTTTTTTTCCTATTTTTTTCTCCCAGAAACATGTTCTAATGATGCTTTTGTTCTTGATGCTTGTGTACGCTTTTCCATATGAAATTGTAGCTTACTTATGCCCGTTGGTTTAGGATCTTGTTTCACCCTATATAGGTAGCAAGTGCTGAAGGGAAATCAAATTTTAGGGGAGATACGTGAATTGATGAGTAAAATTATAGTATTATCTTTGGTTCAAAAGATGTGTATTTTTTTTAAAAATAAAAAATGTAGCATAGAGTAGTGCAACTTTAGCTAAAAAAGGAATAAAAAAGTTGAGGATCTTGGTGGAAGTGGCGTAAAGCCCTTCTGGGGACTGTTCCATTACTTGATGGAATCACTAACTTGTTATTCTCCATGTTATGTAACAATTATTCTTTTTGGCTGGTAAAACAAGAAATAAACCATTGATCCATATCTTAAACTTAGTTCCCTGATTCCCTCTGTTTCTTTTGGCTAGTTTCCTTGGGTCTGGAGGCTTTCTTTGCTTTAGATTGAGGTGTCATCTCTTCTTAGATAAGCTTTCTTGTATGGTTTTAAATTAATTTAGAGCATGTTTGGATAAAAAATGTTTTCGAAAATAACTAGTATTTTTCAATGATGAAGTTTTCAAAAACACTTCTAAGTTGTATTCAAGGAGATTCTTAAACAAGTTTAGCATTACAAATAATATATGTTTAGATCTATACAGCTGAAGCTAAAAGAGATAAAAAAAAAATCCCTCCGCTTTTGTTATTCCTTATTCCTTGTGTATTGGTTTCATGCTTAACTAGGAGGTAAGACATGTCTTCGTTCTTTGCAGCTTTGTAACCCTAATTCTGACTTGGTTAATTTTCTGAATTCTTACTCTCCGATATTTGATGATGTTTTCTATACCTTGTTGGAAATATTTTGAGAAAAATATAGAAAAATCGGATCTTTTAGATAAATTAAAATTAAAATTAAAGATGATAAATTGTTATTAAAATTATCATAAAGATTTATACAAGATAATGTTTACATATAAGCTTACAATCAATTTAAAATTTTAACAAATATCATCTACTAACAATTCTATTTATTGAAATTACATTGACTAATTCAAAATAAAATGTAACATATAAAACTTTAACAATAACAAATATTCTATCTAAAATTTATTCAAAATTCAAAATTTAAATAAAGAAAAATCTTATAAATCTAACACTCCTTGAGATTTGTCGTGAACACCTCAAATTTTAGTTTCATGAACTCTAAAACTTGATTTCAAAAGTTCTATGTCAGCAAGTTGTTACACATCAATTTCTTGATCCAAATCATTGTTATTATAATCATTTAATTTAATTTCTCTTGACTTTAAATATTACTTGTTGGGATTTGTCATATCAAATACATTTTGTATAAAAGTGTGACCAAATCTTTCATGTCAAACACTACTCTCATCAATTTTAGTAATAAAATCATGATCTTCAACCAAATCAAATTCTAAATAAAAATAGTTTTTGATCATCTCAATCTTTGTAATCTCTAATCCATGTTCATCCATTATAAAACAATAATTCTCTTTGACAGAGACTCCTTATCCATTCTTTAGCATTTGTGGAACGCTAAGAAGATTTTGATCCAATTTCAAAATGTAAAGAACATCTTTGACAATTATATATTATATCTTTCTTGGTTGATATAAAAATCGTTCCTTTTTCATTGACTTGCATAATCTCACAATTTCTCATCTTACTTTTGATTGAATTGATTTGTCGATAAAAGTAAAAAAAAAAAAAAAAAGATACACAGTTAGTCATGTGATTGATACAGTCATTGTCAATGAGCCAAATATTCAATTCATGTGAATTGATTTCTTGCGATATCATAAATAAATACTCATCTTCATTATCATTTTTTTCTTCAATAACATTTGTTTGTTTTTTTCTACTTGTTGCTTAGGATGATTCTTCTTTAATCTGTAATAGTTTTCCTTATGACTACTTTTATTCTTTGGTAATGAGAACAAGGCAAAAAATTTCCTTTTCTCGAAGAACCTTCAACTTTCCCTTCGTTATTGAAAGATTGTGACTTTCCAAAATTCCTTCCATTGTGTTTTGCTTGAAAAGCACCTTCAACAACTTCATCACTTCTTATCGAGACTCTTTACTCTTGAGAATGAAGCTTATTGGTTATTTTAGTCATTGTGAGGGTTTGCAAATCACAAAGACTCTTCAATTGCAAAAAACTTGGCTTAAAATCTTCAGGCAACGAAACATGATTTTATTGACAACCTTCTCATATGTAAATGATGTTTCACTAAGAAGTCATATTTGGTTCACAACATCCTTTGACATATTCATTATCTTCCATCTTCTTCAATTCAAATTCTCTCTTCAATGTGATAAGCCTAATAAATTTGACTTTGTTATTGCCTTCAAATTCGTCTTGGATCTTGTTCCACACCTGTTTAGGTGTTTCCAAGTCCATGATTTTAGTAAAAATATGATTTGCATGTATTGCATGTAGGCAAGTGATGACTTTATCTTTCTTTACTTCTCCTTTTCATAAGTATTGGGAAAAACCCAAGTCCCACATCGACTAGAGATTAGGCAATTGAATAGTATATAAGTGAAAAGCAACTCTCACCTTACAAGCCGGTTTTGTAGGGTTGAGTTAGGCTTAATCCACTATTCTAACATGGTATCAGAGCCATTTAGATCCACTTTAAAAATGGGCCACCCACCATTAATGCATGCCTCATAGGCATGAGGGGGTGTATTGGGAAAAACCCAAGTCCCGCCTATCCTAGATCATTAAAAAGGGCCACCCACCATTTATCCACGTACCAAGCCCAATAGTGCTGGACGTGAGGGGGTGTATTGGGAAAAACTCAAGTCCCACATCGACTAGAGATTAGGCAATTGAATAATATATAAGTGGAAAGCAACCCTTACCTTACAAGCCGGTTTTGTAGGGTTGAGTTAGGCTTAATCCACTATTCTAACATGGTATCAGAGCCATTTAGATCCACTTTAAAAATGGGCCACCCACCATTGATGCATGCCTCATAGGCATGAGGGGGTGTATTGGGAAAAACCCAAGTCCCGCCAATCCTAGATCATTAAAAAGGGCCACCCACCATTTATCCACGTACCAAGCCCAATAGTGCTGGACGTGAGGGGGTGTATTGGGAAAAACCCAAGTCCCACATCGACTAGAGATTAGGCAATTGAATAATATATAAGTGGAAAGCAACCCTTACCTTACAAGCCGGTTTTGTAGGGTTGAGTTAGGCTTAATCCACTATTCTAACTCAACCCTACAAAACCGGCTTGTAAGGTAAGGGTTGCTTTCCACTTATATATTATTCAATTGCCTAATCTCTAGTCGATGTGGGACTTGAGTTTTTCCCAATAATAAGCTTTGATTTGTGCAATGGTTAAATTTTCTCTCAATAGTAGTAAATTAGCTTTTAAGATTAAAACGTTCAATAAAACCTTGAAATCTTAAAACAAATTTCATCTTGACAGTCCAAATATGATAATTTTCACCATTAAACATTGGAATTGTTAGTGAATTATTGGAAGTAGACATCCTTACACCATAATTGCTTGAACAAAAATCACTCAATTTAGTGTTTGCACTCAACCTCACTATGTGTAGCGCTCAAGAAATTTTTTTCCTCACAGCCCGTAAGAAGCAAGCCCTTGATATCACTATTGGAAATATTTTGAGAAAAATATTAAAAAAATTTGATCTTTCTGAAAAATTAAAATTGAAGATGACAAATTGCCATTAGAATTACCATAAAGATTCATAGAAGAGGATGCCTATATGTAGACTTAATTTAAAATTCCTAACAAATCCTATCTACAAACAATCCTATTTGTTGAGATCACATTAACTAATTGAAAAAAAATATATAAAATATAAAACCTTAACATTAACAAATATTCTATTTAAAATATATTCAAATTTCAAAATTCAAATAAAGGAAAACCTCATAAATCTAACATATTGGAAGGGGAAGTAGGTTCAGTTGACTAGTGAAAGAGTAACACAACTCTAAAATTATGGCTCACAAAGTTCAACAAAAATAAAAATGTGTACTATGTAGACTTAGGTATACACATATAGTTGTTCCAAAGATAGTAGATTGAATCTAGTAAAAAAACGGACCATATTAGAAAAAGTTTTCCATAAAATTAGGAAGACATTTCAAACCAATAATATATTGAAAAAAAGTAATCTTCCACTTAATCCATTGTCAATCATAATAAGAAATAAAATATATGAATCATGGTGACAAGTTTTCTAATAGTGAGTATTATATCTAATGTATCTCAATATATCAAGTCTCTCAACACTACTTCTTAATAAATAAGCCATATGTTTACTCTAGGTCAAAACTAAATGGTATTTCTCAAAACAAAAAATATTTGCACAAAATAAACTGGAAAACATTAAATTGAATAAGAGTTTCATCAAAATAATAAACATACTTATTGAATAAGAGTTTCATCAAAACAATAAACATACTTATAATGAATATCATATCATAGGACCAAGCCCCATTCATACTACATGATCCCTGAAATTCTTTAGTGTCATGCCTTTAGTTAAATGATCGACAATTATCAACTCAATGCTTATGTGTTCAATGGTCATTTCTTTTCCTTAACACATTCTCTTACGACTAAATATTTGATGTTGATGTGTATACTTTGACTTCCACTCTTATCATTCTTAGCCATAAATATTATTAAAATATATGACTTATTCAAGAGGAGGTGAACTGAATATTTCTTGAAAA